TCGTTGACCTCCGAGGCCTTGGCCTTTGGCCACAATGGGTGGCGATCCAGGGTGAGGAGTTCCAGCCAGGTGACTTTGTCGAATCCCTCCACCTACCGGTCATTGAGGGCTTTTCGGTTGTTGTGATTGGAGGCCGTCGTGTTTCTGGCAGCCACAGCATATTCGTTGAGGATGGGGAAACGTTGGAAATAGTCCTGCGTAGAACAGGCGAAATCACGCCAACGGCCTCACCAGCATCCTCGAGCAGCGGAGACAGTGACGATGACAGCTCGGATGGCCCGGGAGCCCTACCAAATTCGTCCGACTTCTCATCCGGGCCCTCGCCACAAGGGCCGGGTCCTTTCGGACCACCACCCCCAGAGCCGGTCAACAGACCGAGAAGCAGAAGTCCCCGAAGGGACGGGCCCGCCGAGGCGGCGAGCACAACGGGTACCCTCTCATTGGCAAAAGCTTTGACGGTGCCTATATACGACCTGACTGACACAGCCCTGCGCTTCCCGCATTCACAGGCGACTTTGTATAATATACTGGGCCATTGGCCGATGACCTGGTTACATTATGACCTGGGCGGGGTACAAATGACGCAGGCGGCGGTCGACGCGATACAGCAGTGCCGGTCATGGCAGGATTGTGTGTATGGATGGCAAGGACAAGATGTCAGCTTTCAGCTGTTCACAGATGGCTCCGCCTCCAAGGACGGACATAGGAGTGGCTACAGTGTCATTGCCTTGTTGAAGGTTGGGGCTGTCTGTACTATGGTTGGGATCATTGGTGAACAATTGGTCGGCAATGCGGACACACAATGGCCGAGCACAGGGGCCCTGGCACTGGACGCAGAGCAAATCGCTATAGCAACGGCGATCCTATGGACGTTGCAAATGCGTGCGCTAATACCAAAGGTGCGCTGCCAAATTTGGTTTGACTGCCAGGCTGCGGGATACGCGGCATCAGGACAATGGACAGTGATCAATGACATGGGCAGCCGCCTTCGCAACCTGGCTCTTATGGCGGACCAAGTTGGCGAGGTGTCCATTGAGTATGGCCACGTCAAAGCCCATGCTGGCAATGGATGGAATGAAGTAGCCGATGCGGTGGCCAAGGCCCTGTCTTGCGGCAACATATGTGCCCAGGGGCCACCGGACGAGACGGTGAAAGCATTCTTGGAACTGGACCTAGCATGGGCCGGCTTCAACCTGAGGGCTGCCAGAGATGGGTCGTCCCGTGTTGCGGCTGGCCAACTATGGTGGAACGAATCACAATTCCGCCCATACCAACTGACAGTAAACCAACTTATCCCGACCAGTGCCGAGGACAACAAAGGCATTGGCACGACCGAGCAGTGCTTCCGATTGCGAGCTTGCACGGCCAACGTACAAGGGCTCACGGGGCACTACAAGTACGTCGAGGAACAGTTGGACCGGATGGCCATGAACGTGGTTTTCCTTCAGGAAACAAAGGGGCATAGTGGCATATGCCAGAGCAGTGCCTACCTCCGCCTCTCCACAGAGGCCTGCAGACACTTTGGCGTTGCGGTGTGGTTCCATAGGAGGCTCGGCGCCATGCAGATTGATGGCGTTCCCCTTGTGATCCAGGAGGAGGACATCGAGGTCCTTGCTGAGACCCCAAGGCTACTGACGCTGGTCGTAAGAAAGGACGGGCGCAAGTTCGGATTCATAGCAGGCCACTGCCCGCATTCTGGGCGAGCGGAGGAACGAGATGCCTTCCTGGAGCAACTTGCCTCCATACTGCATAGACTCAAGCGATCACACTTGGTGCTTTGCGGTATTGACCTGAATGGAAGAGTTCAGGCACCGTACGAGCTTGTGTGCGGAACGCTGACCTGCGATGACCCGGATGCCACGGGCCAAAAATTTACGGAGACCCTGGCAAGCGCGGGAATGTGGATACCCTCTACCTACAATGAGCTCCACCAAAGAGATCCATATACATATTGCCACCCCTCGGGCAATGAAAGCAGGATCGACTATGTGGTGGTGGGCGGCCGGGCCAACATTGACGGAGCAGGCAGTGAAACTTGCCAGGACTTTGACAATGGCAGCCCGAATGAGGACCATCGCTTGGCCGCCTTGACCCTGGAAGGACGACTACAGTTGAGCCAAGGGAGGCCCAAGCTGTGGAGGCCGGTCTACGACAGGGACAAGTTGGCGACGCCCGAAGGCCGTCAAATCATTGCAGAGGCGTGTGCTTCCTTTGTGCAACCTGATTGGGAAACACACCCCGACGAGCATTGCCAACAAGTTCAGGAACATCTCACTAGATGTCTACAGCAGCACTTCAAGAAAGACACGACCAACGAAAAGGCCTCATACATCCCGGCAGAGGCCTGGCAACTCCGAGACAGTAAGAATGCGCTCCGCAGGCGCACGAGAGCAAGACGACAGACGTGGGGGCGCCTTCGCCGAGCAGCCTTTGAACATTGGCAAGGCGGAGCAAAGCATGACCTTGAAGGCAGGGTCGCCAAACAAGGGCTACTGTATGAATTGGTCGCGTCGGCGGTGAGCATCGCCACCCGAAGAATCAAGGTCATGATAGCAGAGGCCAAGGACAAGTTCCTTCGGCAGGTCGCGGCTGAAGGACACCAGAATGTAACGGCCGTGCTACAAAGAGCGAGAAAAGCTGGAGTGGGAGGCCGGAACCGGCGACCGGTCAGCCGACCCCTACCGAGATTGATCGACCCCAAAACGGGTGAGGTTGCAACAACGGCTGCGGATAGGGACAAGATTTGGCTCCAGTTCTTCGGAGAACAGGAACAGGGCAAAGTCATCCCTACCGACAGCCTCATACAACAAGCCGGTGAATGGCAAGACCGGGGCGACTCGGAATGGAGCTGGGAGCTGCTGCCATCCACAGCGGAGATTGAGGCGGTCTTCCGTCGGACCCCAAAGGGAAAAGCAGGGGGAATCGATGCGATACCCAGCGACCTGCTGGCTACATCCCCGGGGCCGCTAGCGCAGCTGCTCCAGCCGCTGTACCTGAAGTCCCTGCTGGCCGGAAGGCAGCCACTCCAGTGGAGGGGCGGCATCCTGTATGAGGCCTACAAGAACTCAGGGCCGATGCAGGAAACGAGCAGCCATCGCAGCCTGTACATCTCCAGCT